TGTTTCTAAATGAATTTTCAGCATGATTTTGTTCCTACAGTCTGTCTGATAACATCATTTCTGTGTCTCGAATGATTAAGTTGGCGTCTTTTCTCAAACATCGCATTTCGTAGGTTTTAATTTTACGCAGGTTAGCCTTTGATAATGTCCAAGTTTGGCACTGGTAGCACAGTCTTGGTATGAAAATACTGTTTATAATCGGTATCCTGGCTCTCATAATTATGTTTAAATGTCTTAATAACGGTCTCATTTGGTATTTGGTGCACTGGCTCGTTGGTATCTTGTTTGATCTATTCTCCCATCCGCCGAGAATATATTTCCTTAATAGGTTAGTTGCGTAACCTTTACAGGACGTTGCAGAACCAACCACAACAGCCACTGGCTGTTGTGTGGTTTTCTAGGACATTTACGTCCATTCGCCTACCATTGCCTTCTGGACGGTCGACTTTCTTAATACCACTGTTGAAACCAACGCAAGGCGCATGACCCGCATCTGGCATTACGAAGCGTTCGCATCGACTTAGCCACAGAGCCGACATATACTTCCTAGATATTTAAATTCCTTAACTTGCTTCAGACAATTACCATTAAACCCGATATGTAGCAGACTAGGAATTCTGCTTACCTGCATAACTTCAATTTTATAGTATATATTTTCATGTTATTCCTTTCGCATGTAGAGCTCAGCCTATTTGAATTTTCCTGGAGTCTACTCCCCTCGTTGTCGAACAGGCACTCATCGTCTCTAAATAGTAGCATGTTTAATTTCTTCATCATTTATCGTTATGTTTTAGGCGACAGCCAGTTTTGTCTGTGGAAATTAATTCTGTTTTCTTAAAAGAACACTTTGGGCATTACTGAAGACTAATGACGGGACACTAGTAATAACAACTAGAAAAAAAAAATTCGTTTTAAAACTTCGCCATCACTTTTCTCATCAATATTTTCCATTATAAATCTCACCTTTTCTGCCAAGAATATAACGTACTTTACAAGGCAATTACTCCAGTTTTAGGATATTTCTATCTCGGCTGTAAACTTTCCAATTTCAATAAAAACGCTAAATTCAGACCGCTTCTTGTAGCCCGTTTGTCTGCATACAAACACATAAATCCCTTTATTATTGTGTAATCTATTCTTCGTCCCGTGTCTTGTGTCCAACAGACCATAAAATGGGCACCCAGTGTTTCCGTTGTGTTCATGATCAGCATTGACTTTCCTGGCTTTATTACCACATTCTAGATTCTAGAGGAAGAGGAGTCTTAGAGTCAGGGTAGGATTAGCAAACTTAGAAATGCCAGGTTTCCAGAAAATTGTATGCCTTCTGACTCGATTGTACTCAGACATTGATGTCAATTTCTCTAAGGAAAGCAGTAGTTAATTTGATAAAGAAACTCATTTATAAACCCACTTATATGGGCAATAGTTGAATAAAATATAACTTTTTTTTAATAAACAGCGTTTTCTTGTGTGAATAAGGATACAAACAATAGACTGCATAATTTATATTCTGGCATATTTCATTGTATCCATCTATAATAGTGTGAGTAAGATGTGCTAAACTAAACATAAATTGTTACTAGAAAGCCCAACGTCGGAAATGGATAGGGGATCGAACCTTTCGACCGAAGTCTTTATAAACGGAGTACTGAAGGCATCACAAACTGTGACTTAAAAACTCAACGGACAAGACAGTAGAGATTGTAAACAGCCATAGTCAAAATAAAACGCTAAAATACGTAACAATTAAAGAAAAATAATGGAAACGGAAAGTCTTTTCCCTGTTCGAACGTCCGATTAAGTGCAGCAGGGGATGTCTGAGGCCTGGCAGCAGAAACCAGGTTAGCCCACCTTCCAAGATTGTCTAGAAGGTAATGGGCCGAAACCATTGTCGACGAGGAATCTTTCTACTTATGATCGGTGGGTCCTTGTTCTACCTGCTCCCGTGTGGAGTTCTTCTTATTATTGACATGCAATATATGGCCATTTACAACAAAAAAAAAAAAAAAAAAAACAATTTTAACCGGGGAAAGAGATTATTTAGAAAGGTTGTAGTAGTGATCGGAAGAGATCAAAAACAGGACATACGAGAACAAGAAGGCATAGAGCCACAGCTAAATTATATACACATTTAGCATACAAAATGAAATGTCTTGCCCACACAAAGTGACGGTTTTGCCCACTTAAAGAGAATGCAAATTCCACTTCAAAAGAATGTCAAAGAGAATGTCTTGCCCATTTAAAGTGAATATCTTGCCCATATAAAGTGACCGTTCACCCCCGCTTCAAAGAAAATGTGTTTTCCACTTCAAGAGAACGTCAAAGAGAATGTCTTGCCCACTTAAAGTGAATGTCTTTATCATAGAAAGTGACTGTTTTGCCCACTTAAAGAGAATGTATTTTCCACTTCAAGAGAATGTCAGAGAAAATGTCTCGGCCACTTGAAGAAAGTAAATTGCCAACTTAAAGAACATGCTTTTTCCACCTTAAAAAATGTCTTGCCCACATGAAGTGAGCGCCTAGTCCCTTAAAGAGAACGTCTGTGACGCCATACTATGCAGTACATGTATCCAAAGAGGGGAGTAACGATGAGCACGAGATAGGCTGAGAACAAGATTTAAAAAAAAAATATAAGAAAGACTGCAACAGGACGATACGCACCCCAAGCAAACATACATACAGGCGCACAGATGCTTGCACAAACACATACACGCACACACACAAACACACACACAAACACACATTTCTTACTTTTCTTCTTCGCATTCACCGGTTGTAAACTCTGTAAGAAATTTATGGTTGTTAGTCCACGTCTGTGCTTTATTCTGTTTCCAGAACCTGATTGTTGCGTGCACATCCAATGTTACAGGTCTGACTTATTTAGATGTAGATAAAGAGAAAGAGAATGCATGTGACATAGGTTGCAGCACTCTCTAGAGGGAAAGGGGGAGGGTGTGTTAGACCCAGTTTTTCCGTTTTTCGAGTGTTTAAAGCGCTGGCGTGCTAAAATATACAAAACGCGATATCAACGGAATTGCGGAACATCCCCGTAACCGTGACGAAGGTTACGGGGCTCGGGAACTACCATTCAGAAGTTACCTAGTGTGTGTATTGGCGGGGTCTGAGGAGACTAACGTCGAACTAACTATTGTAAACATATGTATGTGTGTCACTCCCTCACCACCTCCCCTCCACCAGACTTCCTTGCAGTATCCAAGCTTTATTATTATAGACAGCAACTGACAAGTCAAAAGAGGGCTGTCCCTACTCATACAAAAATTAAACAGCATTAAAAGTCTATGGTTAAGCACTAGCTAAAAATCAGTCAGAATTTTCAGAGCATGCATCTTTCCTGTAGCAACATACGGATGTGAGTCGTATACTATCTCACAGTCCTTGAAGAAAAAAAAAAGAAGGTTTATATTCAAAAGGCTAAGAAAGATTGTCCGAATACTATGGACAAAGAAGAGAAGAAATACTTACGTCCTAAACAGTCAGAACGTCAAGGAAGACTGGCTAATAAACAGCATCTTATCCCGGAAGCTGAAATATTATGGTCACATCAAGCACCACGGCGGATTTGAAAAAAAAAAAAAAATGAAAAGCAGAAGACATGGTGTCAGGAAGAAGGGACAGGGGCCGACCAGCACGAAGCTGAGCACAGGATTTGAATGACTCCTTTAGGTATAAAAGTGCATCGGGTGGAAGAGCTGGCTTGAGACCGAGTTTATTTCAGACAGCCTGTGATAAGAGCGACGTTCTGCAAAGTTGCTGCTACATGAAGATGAGCCTTCCTTGCCGAACCCACACTGTCCCAGACATTTACAAAAATGACAATAAAAAATCAAACGATGACATTTGTCTTTGAGAGTCTTTACTGATAAGCAAACACAAAAAGATAAATAATGCAGCTACTTTTAAAAGCTATAAAATTGCTACATTATTATATTTAAAAAAAAAAAATCACAAATACAGAAGAAGGATTGTAGGTTGATCATATTGTCGGGCCACTATCGTTTTTAAGTAGGCCTTGACAGTCCTCTTAAAACTTTAAAAAAAATCCACTGTTCCAGTCGAAGTTGAGTGTCGACGGAAACATTTAAAAAAAACATTACTTTACTACTGTCATCCCTCCATCCCTCTTTAAAAAAAACATGCGCAGTTCATAGTTAGTGCACTAGTTATACAGCCCTAAGTCTGATGCCCTTTCGCCCGCAGCTGGATCGAACCCGGCACCACGGATTTAGGAAGTGCGTTCGCAACACCAAGGCTGCAGATGCCGAGTCTACACCACCATGGAAAAATAATAAATGCGGGCAACGTTTCCCGTTAAATAAAAGTTCAGTTACACATTGAAACCCCTATTTTGCCTTGGAACCAGATCTGCTTCAGTTTTAACCACATCTATAATTGCATGTAATTACATAAAGGAATGACAGCACAAGTGGAAGCTAAAATATCACAGCAAACAAAGAAATCGAATGTGGGACTAAGCAATTTCTAGAAATAGAAAATTAATTGCATTGAAATGGCTGCTTCTATTTTAAAACATGCGTTAGCGACATGTGGTTATATATCTGCTGATTTCGCTCTGCTGGAAATGTCAAGAAGCTTTTGAGCTGCCATTTCATCAGAGGAAGTCAGATGTTAGCGCTGAAGCCAAATGACATTTGCAGAAAAACAATTTCAGTCTTCGTATTCCAACATCTTTTTGACAGTGTAAGATTTCCTTGGCGAAGTGGTCAGGCTGTTATCATCACTCCCTGAAAGTCATGTGCTGGTTTAACAAATTCCTCGTTCCGTTCAATGGTGCAGTATTTACGAAGATCTTTCTTCATCGTCGCTGGAGCTACGAAGCTTATGCTTTGGGCGACGCTTTCAGCTAACCACTAGCCGTTCTGCTGAGAAAAAAACTGAGCCGTATGGGGGGGGGGGGGGGGGGGGGGACCGATGCAATGAAGTCGTTTCTCTGTACTTTACATTTAACTTTATTTTGACAGCATGTTAAGAGTCGATCACGATGGAGACATATATGGAGGATTATCATCCTGTTCTTCTGTGGTCTCACCTGGTCCAACCACGGTTCATTCGGCCCCAGCTACCCCCATGCACAATCCAGATGGCAGTGTTGATGTTGGCTATAGGACTGGATCGCAGCGTGGCTTCTTTGAGGGACTTCTGGGATGTCTGAAGCCTGTATGGACTATTCTGGGCAAGGCGACGGCAGCGGAGTTGAAGCAGCAAGGTCGAGGTTGGTAACATTTCTAATAAATGTAATATCATCATCCTTATCATCATCATCATCGTCATTATAGTCACATTACACGTCCTGTCGCTGGGTCACCAGTTGCTGTTGATTAATAAGTTGCCGCCATCTTTATTAGCCTGGTGCAATGGACCTGCTAAAGAAACATACAACATCTGGAGCAGTGTCGGTGTCTGTGGCTTAGGCGTTGCGAACGAGCTTCGTAATGCTGGGATTCCGCGTTCGGTCCTAGCTGCGGACGGGATGTTTTGCAATGGTTTCGACAGTGGAACCAAGAGCAGACCGTTTAGTAGGCAGTGGCAAACTACTTAATCTAAAATTTGCCTAGAAAACCCACAACAGAAAAACCAAAAGCTGTGATTGGTTCTGCAACGCCCTTTAATGGATACGTAGGGAGTCGCCTTTGCGAGCGGCTAAACGCTCGCCTGCGGACCGGAAAGTCGTGGGTTCGCTCCCTGGCGGAGCCGGACTTTTTTTCAAAAATAACCTTGGCTCCCAGGTCGATCCAGCCTTGAGTGGGTACCGGGTGCAGCCCTAGGAAGTAAAGGCGGCCGGCGTGATGCTGACCACATCACCCATCTTGTGCCGATTGGTCTATAAAATATAGGTCTAGCCCTATATGCCCTATAAGCCTAAAGGCGTGGAAAAGGTTCCTTTACATTTTTTTTACTGGAGCAGTATTCAAACCTTGGTGGAGCCTATCCTCTCCATGTTACCCATAACCTCGTTCCAATATGGTTCTCAATGTTTTGTTATTTTAAAGCTCCACACCGGCTGTAGTCGGAGGCCCTAATATAAGCTAACGGTTGAACGGCGTTTCTGTGACTTCTACCCGAGTGATTCTCATCTTAATGGTGGCATTATGTGTCACCGGATGTTTGTCGCTGTTTGTGCGGTCCTGGTGGGGTTGAATTTCACTCACTCATCTTCTCCAGATGGTAATTTGTACATTAGCAGGGTTTCTTCCTGATAGTTTACCAGCCTACAACACGGGTAAAACAGGTGGGCTTGTGTGATCGCGGGAGAGCAGAAAACTTACGCGGCTCCGTTGTTTACCCTCCTACGAGAACTATCTGTCCCCGACAAAGCAGTCTGCAGTGTCCGGTGTAACCACACCTGGCTGCTGTGTCTGATGGGACCACACCTTGCTGCTGTGTCTGGTGAGACCACACCTGACTGCTGTGTCTAATGGGACCACACCTGGCTGCTGTGTCTGGTGAGACTTAAATGGCTGCAGTGTCCGTGAGACCACACCTGGCTGCAGTGTTCGGTGAGACCACACTTGGCTGCAGTGTTCGGTGAGACTACACCTGGCTGCAGTATCTGGTGAGACCACACCTGGCTGATGTGTCCGGTGGGACCACACCTGGCTGCAGTGTTCGGTGGGACCACACCTGGCTGCAGTGTCTGTGAGACCACACCTGGCTGCAGTGTTCAGTGAGACCACACCTGGCTGCAGTGTCCGGTGGGACCACACCTGGCTGCAGTGTTCGGTGAGACCACACCTGGCTGAAGTGTCAGGTGAGACAACAACTGGCTGCAGTGTCAGGTGAGACCACACCTGGCTGCAGTATCTGGTGAGACCACACCTGGCTGCTGTGTCTGATGGGACCACACCTGGCTGCAATGTTCGGTGGGACTACACCTGGCTGCAGTGTTCGGTGGGACCACACCTGGCTGGTGTGTCTGATGGGACCACACCTGGCTGCTGTGTCTGATGGGACTACACCTGGCTGCAGTGTTCTGTGGGACGACACCTGGCTGCATTGTTCGGTGGGACCACACCTGGCTGCATTGTTCGGTGGGACCACACCTAGCTGCAGTGTTCGGAGGGACCACACCTGGCTGTAGTGTTTGGTGAGACCACACCTGGCTGCAGTGTTCGGCGAAACCACACCTGGCTGAAGTGTCAGGTGAGACATCACCTGGCTGCAGTGTCAGGTGAGACCACGCCTGGCTGCAGTGTCCGGTGAGACCACACCTGGCTGCAGTGTCCGGTGAGACCACACCTGGCTGCAGTGTTCGGTGGGACCACACCTGGCTGCTGCGTCTGATAAGACCACACCTGGCTGCAGTGTTCGGAGGGACCACACCTGGCTGCAGTGTTCGGTGGGACCACACCTGGCTGCAGTGTTCGGTGGGACCACACCTGGCTGTAGTGTTCGGTGGGACCACACCTGGCTGCAGTGTTCGGTGAAACCACACCTGGCTGAAGTGTCAGGTGAGACAACACCTGGCTGGAGTGTCAGGTGAGACATTATGACAACAGAAAGTTGTGGGTAGACGTTATTACAAACACCACATGGCATTGACTATAAGAAGAATAAGCAAAACAATAATTCGCAGCGGTTGGGGTGGGGGGAGGGGGGGGGGGGGGAGGGGTGCGGGGGTGACTGGAGTTTGACCTGACCTTGCTATGCAAATGTGACCTTGGAAGTCATGTCTATCCACAATCTTATGTCTCTTGTACGTTCAACCATTTATGTCACAGGTAATCTTTCGTGTCATGATGTCAGACTGCCTATCATCTTCTCTCTCTCTCTCTCTCTCTCTCTCTCTCTCTCTCTCTCTCTCTCTCTCTCTCTCTCTCTCTCTCTCTCTCTCTCTCTCTCTCTCTCAGTCTTCCGTTCCCTCTTTTTCCCTTCCATTTTCCCACCATCATCGTGTTTTCTAGTTTTCTCCTTTTCATGACCTGGGTCAGCAAATTTAGATTCTCTCCTTCTGCTGTGGGCAGTCAGTTCTTTTCGTGAGTCAGTTTCTTTCAAAAATGTTTACATGTCATTTACATAGTAATTTTGATAGTCGTGGAAATATAAAGAAATAATAATGACATGCAGTGGAACGGCAGCTGCAGCTTATGAAAATCTGACGTGTTAAAATACAAGTTATTTATTCTCAGTTCTAAATGGTTTTTTTTTTTAATTAAAAAAAAAATTTTTTTTTTTTTTTGCCAGTGAAAGCCACTAAAGAGATGGAACGAAATGTAAATGCATTTGAAGATAAATGCCTGATGAAAATGTTGAACATAAACGGGGATGAATTCAAGAAGGGTGGAGAAAAAAGAAAAATGACTGGGCAACCATTGCTAACAAATGATGTAAGACGAAGAAGATTGAACTATATTATGGGACACATCCTGAAAAGAAATGAACAGAGAATGATCAAACAGATACTAAAATGGGAATTAGTGGAACTGAGAAAGCAAAGATGCACAAAACAAACCCCAAAACGAATGTTAATGAGAGTCTAAAGATGCTAGGCTGGATTCCATCAATGATTGATTGCATAGAAGGGAATGAAATGGAAGAACGAACGAACAAACTTTATTTTCAAAGGGTTACAAATTTGACATGCACGCCCATCTGACATTCGGCCCTTCTAAGCACTCATTTTTTAGAGTAACAATACCTGTTATCAATAATGCATGTTATTGATATAATAAAGAAATATAAATTATAGAATAATGCATACACACATCATGTGTACACAATCGTACACACTCACACACACGTATACATACTCCTACGTTCTCATACATGCGAACTCATATACAGACATACGTGATACATACAAACACGCATCTACATACATTTACAAACATAAAACACATACACATACATAGACATAAATGCACAAACAGAAAACACAGACACATACATTTATGGATATACATGCACACACACATTCCATACATAAACACCTATACATGCATCCATGCATACACACATATACAATCACATGTGACCACAACCACACATTTACACTTACATGAATACATACACCCACATACATGCATACATACAATATATTGCGATCCCATTGTAACATATAATGCCACAACAAGACAATGAATGAATGAATGAATGAATGAATGAATGAATGAATGAATGAATGAATGAATGAATGAATGAATGAATGAATGAATGAATGAATGAATGAATGAATGAATTTATGAAACGTTTAAATGGTGCCATTTTCCAGATGACTGGGAAATACCATTTGAAAGTATCACCGACTTGCAGTGGCTGGGGAGTGGCGCCCAGGGCGCGGTTTTCCTGGGGAAGCTGTGCAGTGAGGAGGTGGCGGTCAAGAAAGTCAGAGACGTGAAGGAAACAGACATACGTCACTTGCGGAAGCTGAATCATCCAAATATCATCTCTTTCAAGTATGTGTGCTTATTTGTTTGTTTGTTTGTTTTAGTATCCAGAAGCCATGAGTTGTTAACCCTTAGGCTCGGTATTATGAATATCGCAACCTTTCGGCCTTGATTCCATTGTTAATACCGTAAATCTGGGAGAAATGTGGCTTTCCTGCCTACCTCCGGGAGTGAACCCGGACCACAAGGAGTTCGTCACCCTGTCACCGCGCAATCCGGTTTAGCCAACTACGCTAGAGAGCCGGGCTCCTTGTTTCTTAAATGATCATGATAATAATTGGATTAGTTCACTTCCTTTTTAGTGTGGGAACCGGGCTCCATTTTGAAAAAAATATTCTTACCAACGCTATGCTATCAATGTCAGACATAGACGCTCTCTTCAGAAGACAGAAGGAACATCGTGACGACAGTTTCCATGCTATACGAGAGGTGTGACGAGGAAAGATTGACGTAGGAACGATGAGGGGAGTTTACGGGTAGACAACACATCAAATGGTTTGGCCATGTAACAAAAGAGCACCACAGAGAGCAATGTTACGGAAATATAGTGTTAACAGAACCAGTGGTCGACCACGCAGAAGATAACCCACAGAAATATCAGAGACACTGAAAAAGTATATTATATCAAACGAACAGAAGGGTCAGTTCCACATATCTCTACCTGCCCTGACGCTGCGAGACATTCCAGGAATAGAGAAATGAAGAAGAGAAAAAGAAGAAGAAGAAGAAGAAGAAGAAGAAGAAGAAGAAGAAGAAGAAGAAAGAAAGAAAGAAAGAAAGAAAGAAGAAAGAGAAAGAAAGAAAGAAAGAAAGAAAGAAAGAAAGAAAAGAAAGAAAGAAAGAAAGAAAGAAAGAAAGAAAAGAAAGAAAGAAGAAAAAGAAAAAAAAAGAAAGAAAGAAAGAAAGAAAGAAAGAAAGAAGAAGAAGAAGAAGAAGAAGAAGAAGAAGAAGAAGAAGAAGAAGAAAGAAAGAAAGAAAGAAAGAAAGAAAGAAAGAAAGAAAGAAAGAAAGAAAGAAAGAAAGAAAGAAAGAAAGAAAGAAAAGAAAGAAAGAAAGAAAGAAAGAAAAAGAAAGAAGAAGAAGAAAAGAAGAAGAAGAAGAAGAAGAATAGAAGAAGAAGAAGAAAAGAAGAAAGAAAGAAAGAAAGAAAGAAAGAAAGAAAGAAAGAAAGAAAGAAAGAAAGAAAGAAAGAAAGAAAGAAAGAAAGAAAGAAAGAAAGAAAGAAAGAAAGAAAGACAGACAGTCAGACAGACAGAAAGACAGAAAGAAAGAAAGACAGAAAGAAAGAAGAAGAAGAAGAGGGCAACAACAACAACAATAGACCCACTGCTCGACTAAAAAGCGTGTCGCGGAAGGCAACTAATTGGGAGTATTTCCTTCAAAGTTGGAATGCATCTGTCTGACAGGCAAGGAGCCAACAGTATGCATACAAATAAGCCAGAAATGTAAAATGGATGTGTATGCAAAACTCAAGTTCTGGATCAAAACCATAGTCCAGGAGTGGACAAACAACCACAACTTTCCTGAACGCTAGGAAGCAAAAGAACAAGACATTCCTTCCCTCGCTATTATCTCTCTTTCTCTTTCTCTCTGCTTTTTTTTCCCCTCTGGCTCTGTCTTTCTGTCACTGTCTCTCACTCCTTCACTTTCTGCTTCTGTCTCTATCTAGCATGGTCCCTCTTCTTTGATTGCTGCTCTATTTGCTATTTCTCTTTGTCTGTTCGTCTCTCCTTGTTCTTAGCTCTGTTTGTCTCTGTGCTTCTCTCTTATGGTATGTACTAGACTCAGCAATATCTTAAAGATCTTCTCAGCCCGGCTCATTAGCGCAGTTGGCTAATCCGGGCTGCCCGGCGACCAGTTGATGAACTCCTGGTGGTCCGGGTTCAGGCCCAGAGGTAGGCAGAAAAGCCACATTTCTATCAGATACACGGTATCTATCATGGAATCAAGGCCGAAGGTTGCGATATCCATAGTACCGATCCAAAGGGTGAACAACTCATGGTTTCTGGATACTTAAAAATGATCTCACTTGTCTGAAACATTGTGATATTGAGACCTGTGTGTGCGTGTATGCGCGTATGCGTCTGTCCAGTGGATAATCTGAGAACACCACAATACATTCAATCGTTGAGCCATTTGTCAGATCCTTTCAGGATAAAAGCGAAATTATAACGGTTTACTACACACAGGGGAACATGTCAATATATGTTCAATATGATGTAAAGACAGCTTAAAATATATCGTCGTTTTCGTTCGTTGTACGTAGTCCTATTTATATGTCAGGGGGCGTAGAATAATAATAATTATTAGTTGTAGTAGTAGTAGTAATAGCAGCAGCAGCAGCAGCAGCAGCAGCAACATTAGCAGTAGGGAAAAAAGTAGGAGGAGAAGAGGGAGAAGGGGAGGAGGAGCAAGACAATGAGAGGGTTACCTTGACGATGAATGAAAAGCAGCAGCAAGAGTTTAAGAACTATGAAGGATGGTAAAAAGGTAGCTGACAAGAAAGGGGGGGGGGGGGGGATACAGGGTCAGTAGCAGCAGTTAGAGACAGCCACAGCTGTTCCGTGACCAGATGCATTACTGTTCGATCCTATGGTTGTGGGTTCGAGTTTGCACCATGGTTGTTTCTGTATGGTTGATCTTAACTGCCAGGTTGAGCCAGCTTAAAATCGGTACCAGTGAGCGGCTGTCTGTTAGAGTTCCTTAGAGAGATGTGCAAACAGGAAGCAGGACATAATGAGACGGACACAGAGGTCGATTCGTGAAAACAAAGTGCCAGTAACTGTGTTGCGTGGAGGGGAATAAACAAGAAGGAATTGGGGGAAAAGGAAGCAAATTACTGCAGAAAAACGTTGAGAGCTGAGTGTCTGTGAAGAAGTACATTACATACACATGATGGCAACAAGGGTCCGGAAATGCCATACACTAGTTGTTGTAAACCTTTCTTAACACTGGCGTATGGGCTATGATTTCTTTACTTCATTATTGCGCAGTATAACACTATCGTTTGGAAAGACGGAAATGTCTCAACAACAAATCTCATAAGATGTACAGGCAGCCACGATTTTTTTACACACATATCCCACTCCCAACCCACTTTTTTTCCCCTCCGCCACCAAACGCACCCAAACGCACAACAGCACGTTGTTCTTTGAGGGTACACTCCATAAGTACAGTCGCCACTTTGTTTCTGTGTTGCGAATGCGCAAGCAACACCTAGCGCCACCTAACGAACGTAGACATATAAAGTTCGATGTTGCGGTCACCCAATGACACCTTTAGAAATCACCAACTACATTTGCCTGCCATCCCAAAACCATGTGTGACTTACTTATTGACTTCCCCTTGTATATTATTCTGGCATGATGTTTTCAATGCACCACTAGTGTGAACGAGGTTTGTTAAAGAATAAAATACAAGAAAATAAGGGAAAACGAATATTTAACTTCTAAGACAAGATATACTGAACGCCTAGCAAGACGCCGGTGAAAGGAATACTAAAACGGTACAATACCAGAGCAGGAACTCTTTTAATGCTAATGATATATGAAAAGTAGTGAATCCCATACTGCTCATGTGATAAAAACAGAACAGCGATTACTTTGAAGGTTCGATTAAGAATTGACAATGTGGCACATTTCTATAAGTGCTACGTCCTTATCTTCAGCAGCAAGAGAGTTTAAGTTTAGATGATACTAGTAACAGTCTGATTGTATATTCATCTCATCTTTTCTTTGAGTCAGCCAAATGCCTTGATTACTCCCCACAACACCATTCTTCTCAGGCCAAGATAACTGTTTGTGCTTCGGCACCGTTCACTCGCTCCCAAAAGAACCTTACAACATCTAACTCATCAGTACACCACCAAACGGTTCAGAACCAGCCAGTCTGTCTGTCTGTTCCTTTCTCAGCACACATAATCTGTGAGTCAGTTACAATGACGACATGTGTGTACAGCTGGCTCTCAAGCCTATGGAGGGCTGCAGTGTTTGCCTTCACCTCCATTCTCAGACTATATGTTGCGATGTCATATGCCAGGCTGTGTTGCCCTAAGCAACATCCATTCGCTTTGCTAAGAACCCCCATGCACTTCGCTAAGAACCCCCATGCACTTTGCTAAGAACCCCCATGCACTTTGCTAAGAACCCCCATGCACTTTGCTAAGAACCCCCATGCACTTTGCTAAGAACCCCCATGCACTTCGCTAAGAACCCCCATGCACTTCGCTAAGAACCCCCATGCACTTTGCTAAGAACCCCCATGCACTTCGCTAAGAACCCCCATGCACTTCGCTAAGAACCCCCATGCACTTCGCTAAGAACCCCCATGCACTTCGCTAAGAACCCCCATGCACTTTGCTAAGAACCCCCATTCACTTTGCTAAGAACCCCCATGCACTTCGTCTGCATCAGCATAAATAATCACATCACCTGGGCGGGAATTACCTCAAATCATTTGTTGAATTTCTGCAGCACCCGTTGGCCAGTCCCTATACTCACGGCCCATTCACATACACATGTCGTAGTTGTATCAGACTCTGAAAGTGTGCTGAAAAAGGTGAAGACAAGGATGCTTCGAGCAGAGTGGCAAGCTTCACTAGGAAGGTCATGGGTAGTGAGCATACTTTGGATCTTTTCTCCAGGCTATGCCGGTATGGTGGGTAATAAACAGGCAGACAGATTGGCTGAATCTGCACCACTGGGTGGTGAGTTGATACACGACAAGGCAGATGTGATCAAGGTTTTTTGGGAGCAAGCAACAGAATCAGTAGAGAAAAAAGATTATTATGGACTGGAGAGAATGAGACCTCTGGGTGTAACCAGAGGTCTGGCCGGCTCACTACACTCAGAGGAAAGGCAAGACGGACATATAACCAGATTGTGACCATACCATCAGTATTGGAACTCTACGCTGGCTGCTGAAGATGAGGGCGGAGCATGCATAGGAATGCCCCGTGTGCTGTGATGTCAGTTCTTGACTCAACTCAACTCTACTCACGGCCCAGTGTAATTAGAACCCTACACAAGTATGATTGTTGCTCGGACACTTTGACCCACTCCTATTGTCGTAAGAACAGAAACTTGAATTACATTATTGTAAAGCCATTGTTAAGCTTCGTGCCAGTATTGTCATAAGAACAGAAACTTGAATTACATTATTGTAAAGCCATTGTTAAGCTTCGTGCCAGTATTGTCATAAGCGTGGTTTTTCTCATAATCCTTTAAAAAGTTTGCAGCGCATTACAAAAGTTGCAGAACCAACTGCAAAGTTTCTTTTTGTTTTATTTAGTTTCACTAGGCAATTTTACATTCAGCAGTTTGCCGTTGTTTTCTAAACAATCTATATGTCATACTCCTGTCATAATAATGGTATTGTCCTTAAATTAGGGAATCCAATAATGCTGCTGTGATAGTTTTCGTTTCCTATTGCTCGTGCTGGAAGTAAATTAAAGTAAATGATACTTTTCCACGCCTTTAGGCGTTTTGGGCATATAGCACTAGACCTATATTTTATAGACCTATCAACACTTGGCAGGTGATGTGGTTGGCATCTTTCTGGTAGCTTCTACTTCCCAGAATGCACCTGGTACCCACTCAGGGCTGGAGTGACTTGGGAGCCAAAGTCGTTTTTGAAAAGAAAAAAGGGCCCAGCTCCATCAGGACACGAACCCACGACCTTCTGATCTGCAAGCATGCGCCCAGTCGCTACACCATGGCGACTCCCACCCTTGTGCTGAGCTAGTGGTAAACTGAACACATATTATGGTACTCTTTTCCAGGGGTGTCTGCACTCAAGCTCCCTGCTACTGCATCATCATGGAGTACTGTCCCTACGGCCAGCTGTATGAAGTACTTCGCGATGGTAAGGAAATTCCACCCACACTTGTACTGGACTGGGCCAAACAAATCGCTAGCGGCATGAACTACCTCCACTCACACAAGATCATCCATAGGGACCTCAAGTCTCCAAAGTGAGAATCACCACTGTTTTTGTTTTTCACGTTGCTCTGTCGCACATATTCAAGTAAATATTCTTCTTGTTTAAATTCCTTGTCGTGTGGCGTTGGTGGTCATATCTATACAATACCATTCTGACTCTTGTACTTTTGATCATTTCTAATACCGATGATCGTCCATGCCATTATGTCAAAATATCCAGCATCTTCTCTCTTTATCTCCCTCTGTCTCTTTTCATCACTATGTGCTTCTGTTTTTTCCATTCCATAATATAACCAAAGAATATATACCATCTTCTGATGTGGGTAACCAGCTCTCTTGGTGATATACATTTGAAATTTTAGATATAAGAATTGTATAATTTTTTTTAAACACTATACATAATTCTGGTTCTCCATGGGGGTTTAGGAACGCCATTGTGAGAAGGAGAAAAATAGACCCTCCGCCCTCAAAAAAGCTTGTCATAAAAATTGATTATTTATAAAGGGTGTATCCATTAAAATCGAAGTGTGTCTGTCTGAGAGGCGAGGATGCAACTGTCTGCTTAGAAATAAGCCAGGCTGTAAAACGGATGTGCATGCAAATCTCAAATCCTAGAACAAGTCTAAACTCCAGAAGTACACAAACAAAAATAACTTTTTATATACAGCGTATGTAAAGAAGAAATGCAAGAACCTGAATTCTCCTAAGGATTTCACTAGTACATTTATATTTTGTAACTGTAGCCCTGGATTCTAATGCCTGTTTAGACGGAGCTGTATCGTGACCACAAGCTTTTTGGGTGATCCTACCTTTATAAATAGATACTGGAAGATTGCCTTGGAGATTAGGTGGTGTGTGTAACTCTGACCGTGACACCCAGCAAATACTGATTAATCAAGAATTTGTGGCCTTTCTAATTCCCATTTACCGGCTGTAAACTCCAGTGGAAAGTCCTAGTTGTTCGTCCACAACTTTAATGTTGCATGCACATCCATTCTACAGATCTGGCTGTGCATGCAGATCCAGTTTATAGATCTGGCTTATTTGTGTGCAGCCTGTTGGTTTCTCACCTCATATGCAGATGCAGTTATGGCTCTAATAACAATCTTTACTTCCTGTATTTACACAATTTTAGTGCAATGTAGGCCATGCTTTCTTAAGGTGAAGAAGGGGCACATATAGGAATGTCCCGAGTGATGTAATAGGTTTTGAGGTTTTGAACAACGGATCAACATCATTGCACACGAATGTAACCCATGAGTGCTCCGTTCTTCTTCTAACTCAAGTCTGAGTTCGAAGAAGCTCAGCATCGTGCACAGGCTCTGTAGCACCGGTGAGGATCCTTAAATACTTTGGGTAGATTTTAAACTCTAATTTTTGTCCTGACAGTGCCGTTAGGCTACTCTTTTCGATTTCCAACTACCACAATGCACACTGGCGTCCGATCTCACTACCCAGAGAGACCAGGCTGAATTACTACAAGTCTGAGTCCACGTGAAATATTGGTTGTGGACTCAACTCAGCTCCACCGTCTTCTTGGCTTTCAGCCCTCTGATCTACATGCACTCAAATCTTATGTGTAAGCAGTTTTAGTCTCTCTTATTTGGCATTCTTTCTGCATGTCGCAGCCAATGCAATTTTTTGTTTTTTTTAGAGTGCCCACTCCGATTGTTGTAGGGAGCCTTAATATAACTTAATGGTTTAACTCTTTGAGTCCCAAGGAACGCATCATACGTTCATAGATTCCTACCTAGAAGCCCAATGAACGCAAGATGCGCTGATTTTACATCTCTCTTGACTACCCCTTGGGCCTGTGATGCTCAACCCCCTGGGACTCAAAGAGTTAATAGGGTTTCTAGGACTTGCACCTGGGTGATTCTTATCCAAATGGTGGCACTTTGTGTCCCTGGGTGTTTATCGCTCATTGTGCAGTCCTGATGTGGTTGAACTTCCTTCATTCTTTCACAGCTGTCTATTAACCCTGGTAATGCCAATAATTAGTTGAGATAATAAATGAATTTCCGTTGTTAATTGTCTAATGGCAGTTAGGAGTTATATTTTCCATTTCTTGCAGTGTCTTGGTCTCCTCCAATGACATAGTGAAAATCTCTGACTTTGGCACCAGTCGAGAGTGGAATGAGAAAAGTACCAAGATGTCTTTTGCTGGTACAGTTGCCTGGATGGCACCCGAAGTGATCAGAAATGAGATGTGCAGTGAGAAAGTTGATATTTGGTGAGTATCCTGTTTATTGCAGGGCTGCTTGAGGTCTTACAGTGATGGTAAAATGGATAACTGATTTTCTGTGTTATATATATATATATATATATAGAGAGAGAGAGAGAGATTGTGTAGAATTAAAACTATTTAAAAAAACCTGACTTTTTACTAAGAGAGTTAAAAATTCTCCTATATCTAGATTCGAACCTTTGACAACGTGTCAGTGGGCAAGTTTGCTAGCCTCTGATCTAGCATTATTTTTGGGTAAGTAATAGAGTATATTGTTACAATTTCATCTAATCAAATCATCCAACTTTTATCAGGTCGTATGGAGTTGTACTGTGGGAACTGCTAATCGCAGAAGTGCCCTACAAAGATGTTGATTCTTCTGCCATCATTTGGGGAGTTGGCAGCAACAGCCTCCATCTGCCTGTTCCAACAACCTGTCCAGAAGGATTTAAACTTCTTATGAGGCAATGCTGGTGAGTGAAATGTTCCCTATTTTTATTTGTTGACTAATTTTCCTTAACTTGATTACTATGTATTAAGTTTTGACAGAATTGTTCATGTGACTGTAAGGTTAAGCGTTGGACCTTTTTTACGCTCGAAGCAAATGGGGTATATTGGGCTAGCATAATTTGTATAGACTAATGTCACTAGATAGGTGAACAGGCAGGCAGGCAGACAAGCAAGCAAGCAGGTTACTTCCTCACCCTGTCTCTTGATCTCAAGTGACATAGTCAAATTCTGATTTCGACTAGCCTAGCTGAAAAAGCGATTCGCCCAAACCATGGGGTTTAAAATGTGATGCATAATGTAAAAGCTACAAATGTCTAAGTTTGGCTGAGTTTAGTTTAGTTTCAATAACTGACACTACAGCATTCAGGACATTTCCATAAGTGACCTGTCCCCATCTTCAACAGCCAGTGAAGGATTCCAACCAGTGGTACCAGTTTGAGTCTGACTGTATGTCTAATTCATGTTTCCTCTGAGTGTGGAGTGTTGGCTAGATCCCCTGGTCACTAACTGTTTCCTCAGAGTGTGGAGTGTTGGCTAGATCCTCTGGTCACTCCCTGTTTCCTCTGAGTGTGGAGTGTTGGCTAGATCCTCTGGTCACTCCCTGTATCCTCTGAGTGTGGAGTGTTTGCCAGATCCCCTGGTCACTCCCTGTATCCTCTGAGTGTGGAGTGTTTGCCAGATCCTCTGGTCATTCCCTGTATCCTCTGAGTGTGGAGTGTTTGCCAGATCCTCTGGTCACTCCCTGTAATCCTCTGAGTGGGGAGTTTTTTTGCCAGATCCTCTGGTCACTCCCTGTATCCTCTGAGTGTGGAGTGTTTGCCAGATCCTCTGGTCACTCCCTGTATCCTCTGAGTGTGGAGTGTTTGCCAGATCCTCTGGTCACTCCCTGTATCCTCTGAGTGTGGAGTGTTTGCCAGATCCTCTGGTCACTCCCTGTATCCTCTGAGTGGGGAGTGTTTGCCAGATCCTCTGGTCACTCCCTGTATCCTCTGAGTGTGGAGTGTTTGCCAGATCCCCGGGTCACTCCCTGTATCCTCTGAGTGTGGAGTGTTTGCCAGATCCTCTGGTCATTCCCTGTTTCCTCTGAGTGTGGAGTGTTTGCCAGATCCTCTGGTCATTCCCTGTTTCCTCTGAGTGTGGAGTGTCTGCCAGATTCCTTGATCACTCCCTGTTGCACCATTCTCTTCAGGCCCTGATGATCTCATTGTAACTCCGCACTGCTCACTCGCTCCCACTAGGCCTCTGTTACAATCACAACACATGTGTACAGATGGTTCTCAAGCCAGCAAAGGCTACAGTCACTGCCTTTACTTCCATTCTCAAATGATATGTAATATCTTAAGCCAGGCTTTGATATGCTAAAAGTTGTCCATTCACTTTTGCTTTGAGCACCCAAGCTTGACTTAACACACCCTAATTAACATCAAGTAAAATGGTAAATCGAAAGTTGGATATTCTGAGCTGCATTGAAAAAAAAACCCCAAAAAAACAACGCTTTGTAACCATATAAACTATACGGATTCAGATGAAATTAAAACATATTATTAAAATAGAAAATGCTGCCTTTATAATTAATTGATCTTGGTGTTTAGATTGAATGAGCTTTAAATTAATAGAAGTAAATGTCTGGGAAGTAACAATGGCCTGTGTATAGCAATCACCTGTTGAGTGTCGTTTGTTATAAACAATTATGGGTCAGGTGCCATGGAATCAATGCACTAATGAGAAAAGTCCATTATGAAAAGAGCCCATTACTTTTTTTAAAAAAAAGCTTAAAACTTAATATTCAATAGGTCATAAATAGAATTTAACTTGCTCCAATTTAAATCTGTTGTCACTTTTAACTAATACAATTTTGTTTTCTTAACTAATTGAGTCCCAGGGGGTTTAGCATCAGAGGCCCAAGGGGTAGTCAAAAGAGATGTAAAATCAGCGCATCTTGCGTTCATTAGGCCTCTAGGCGGGAACCAATGAACGTTATGATGCGTTACTTGGGACTCAAAGAGTTAAGTAATTCAAATAATAATGCAGTATAAAGTAGAAGCCAAAGTAATAATTAGAGAAAAATCTGTAATTGAATGTGGAACAAATTATTAACACAGGTATACCTTGGTTAGTGGCTCTTGATGCTCACCTGCAGTCACAAAGGTCATTGGTTCAGATCCACATTTAGAAGAATTGTTTTTTAAAATTCAAAATTGCCTTGGCTCCCTAACACCCCCCCCCCCCCCCCCCCCCCACCCCCCCTATCCTGCCCCTACCCAGTCTAAAATGTTTATCAGTTAATGTCAAGGGAAGTCAAGCTGGCCGGCATGATGTTCATCAAAATACATGAAGAGTACTGACTGGTCTATAAAATATAGTACTAGAACCATATGCCCTAGGATGTGAACAAGATTAAGTTATTTTGTATTTACTATTCCAAGTAGAAATCAACGAAGCAGTGGTGAATGGCCTGGTACTCTCTTGACCTTACTGCCTGTCTTTCCACTTTTAAGGACTGTATAGAACAAGGGGACAGAGGTGTTCTTCTTCTTCACGTTCTCCAGCTGTAAACTCCAGTAGAAAGTTTGTCCGTCTCTGGACTTTAGTCTTGCACATCTGTTTTTCAGATCTGACTTATTTGTATGCAGATTGTTGGTTTCTTGCCTCTCAGGCAGATGCAGTTTGACTTCAGCCCCCAATTAAGTTGACACTTATGGCATGCTTTTGGGTAGGCAGTGGGTCTGTTCCTGTTTTTCCCACGTTGGGGCCCGGAACCCACACGGGGAGGGTCAGAGGTGAAATAGGGTCTTGAGCGTAAGGATTTAGGGGCCTCTTGGCTAGTCTAGTCATCACGAACCGAACTATGCAGGGTAATTGTGTTTATTTTTGCCACTGAGATTACCATAATTTTTCGAGAATTTGGACATTGGTGTGACTGCTGGGTACTGAATCAGTTAACTCAAAAATTAAATCCATACTGTTGTAAGGATTTGGAGTTATGCCTAATTAAATGCTATTTAACTTCCCATGTGCCAGTGTCTTGGGAAATAAGGCAGATAGACTGGCTGGCTATGCAACACTTGGTGGTGAATTGATGTATGGCAGGTTATATATTGTGAGAGCCCTTTGGGAGCGAGTAAACACGGTGATTATTATGATCTAAGGAGAACGGTACTGCAAAGAGTTACCAGGGGATCTGGCCGATGCTCAACACTCAGGGGAAGCATGAGACGGATAGACAGTAGGTTTAGGTAATGGTACTATAGGGATTGGAACTCTTCGCTTGCTGCTGAAGATGGGGACTGAGCACTTATGGGAGTGTCCCAAGTGCTGTGATGTCGATTCTTAATTTAACCTTCAACACTCCAACATTCAGCAACATAACTCCACATGTAGAATCCCATTTGAGGGGGGAGGTGGGGTGACCCCTAACATACATTTTGTAAAAAAAAAAGGTATTATTTTTTTGTTTTGCCGAAAATAAATGGGTTGAGCAGAAATACAACTGTCTCATTGCCTGTTTTTACGCTGTAGATTTCACCACAGATTTCTAAGATTAACTTTGTGTTCTTTTTATTTACTTAATAGGGGAGAGTCCTTCCTAACTGTCATAGCTTTCATCATCGGGGCCACGTTAGCGCAGTCGATAAGAGGTTCGCTTTAAAATCCAGCTGTGACTCGTTGCAGCCACGGTCGGTTTTTGAAACCGGACGGTTCCCGGGGTTTACCCAGCCCCTAGGAAATAGGCAACCAGAGTTGACATTCTGGGATAAATGGAGGAACGTCGTTGTAACTACAGAATTACCTGCAAGCGGCGACACAGGCGGACAATTCTTATCATCTGTCCGTACTGGTGGAAGAGCACTTATGGTTTATAACCGTGTGCAATGACACTGGTTCACATCTCCGACTTTACCTTTATAGCTTTCGCCACCTGAATAGGTACAGTAAAATATTACAGGCAATAAAGTGTACTACATGCATGTCAAAAGTGAGACGGCCATCTTTAAACTGTCATTACGATGTCGCCGTGTTCATCTGAACCATGATGTCACACGCTTACCACCCTTGACATCATTAAAAATATTGACAGGTCACAAGACAATGGCATGTTTATTATAATTTTCATTATTTTAAACCACCGCATATATATTGTTTTCCTGTATCTTGTCAGGTGCATACTACAGTAACAATTACATATGAAGCAAATAAGTGAATACTATATAACTGAAGTACAAATTCAACGACAGTTGAGCACAGCTGATTGATTTACCAGAGCAGCACAGTGTCAGAATCATATCTTTTTGTTTACGGAGTTCAGGGTGGAGGTAACGAATCACTGCGGCTTCAAGAAATCTTAGTGTTCTGCCATTTCCTCACATGAGAAGGATATGAAATGCGTTGTTCTTGGATACAGTGTGTGCATATTTTTAAAGATGGCAAGCTTATATATTGCTATATATTATATATATTGTTTCTGTTTTTGTTTTATAATCCAAAATGCGAAAACATTGTTTAATATTGAGGATGTGAAGAAAAACTTGCCTCTGATAATCTATGTCCATTTTTTTTGTCTAATTGCCACACAACAGGAGCGCTAAACCCAGGAACAGACCATCTTTCAGGCAGATCCTCATGCATCTGGAAATAGCCTCATCAGAGCTCCTCAACTACAGTCCTGAGAAATTTGTAAACTCTCAAGTAGGTAGCTCGATGTTATTTTAACCCATTCAGTTGTAGGCAACCAAGGATCTGAATTTGTGGAGATGCATGAGTGCCTATGCCATTTGGCAAGGCACATGATGATGATGATGACAATGAGTTGTAGGTTACGTTGACCTTTAGAATTCCATGTAATCATTATTCCTCCAACAATTTCAGTCCAATGCACTCATTCTGTTTCAAGTTATTTTAACTCACTGAATCTAATGTTTGAATTTTCCAGTCCCATACACTTTTTTTTTTTTAACTTGTTTAATTCTACTCGTCATTATCATGTGCCCTGCCAACTGGTGTAGGTATCGCCACAGATCATGATCCCTGGTTGCCTGGAACATCTCTCTTGATGATGTCCTTCCATGCCATCCTTTCAGCACATCCAGCATCATTTCTCTTGGTCTGCCTCTACCCCTTTTCCCACTGATCTTTCCTGTTATCACTATGTTCTTCAATGACTCTCTTCTCCTTTTATGGCTAAAGAACAGTGTTTGTCTCTTTCTTATTGTTGTGCATAGAGATCTGCTTTCATTAGCTTTTTTCAAGGAGTTTTTGTTAGTTACTCTGGAAGTCCAAGGTATTCATAACATTCGTGTCAGAAACCACATCTCTGTTGCTTCCGAATTCTTCTTAATTTGTTTACTGACATTCCAAGATTTGCTGCCATAAGCAGAACAAGTTCTATGTTTCAGCACCCCCTTTCTGACATTAAATGAGATCGATTTATTGCATAAGATATTTTCTACTAATATTAAATAATTAAAAAATCTTGTCACTTGAAAAATCTTTCACAGTAAGTGCAAGGGATTTCAGGACCACGGCTGCCGTCCCATGCTTTTGATATGTTTTTATGATTCTTACAGTATATGTATACATTTAAAACATGCACACATGTTACTGCAATGAGGTGCTGTTGTCATTTAGTGAAAGCACCATTCAGGAGGATTGTTAATTATAGCTTTCTGTTGCTGTGGTTGCAGTAGTAGTAATTTCTCCCCAAAAAAATATCCTGTTCAACCCTCAGGATTATAAATGGAATGTGTAGTTTACATTGAGTTCTCAGAGTATATATTTAAATATATTTTAAATTTATGCATATTGTAATTATTTATATGACTAAAATGTATTTATATTGTTTTACATTTTGCTTTGATTTGGGGTGTGATTATGATATCAACAGTATGGAAACTTCGCTGGCTGTTAAGGAGTGAGAGGGAGCTAATATGGGCTTTTTCTAAATGCTGTTATGTAAGACCATTACACCATGAAACCAAATGACTGGATTATGAACACTGGAAATTGTTTTTTACTGTCTTGTTCATTATATGTTCATATTAGTCCAGTTCTGTGTTCCAGTATTAGCTGAATGGCAGAAGGGAAGAAAAGGCAAATGTGTGGTGGTTCTGTAAGTATGTAGACTGTTGGCTGAAATATACATGTTTGTGTTTGCTGTACAGGCCGTATGGAGAGAAGAAATCCAAGAAAGTTTCCAGAAAATGAAGGCTGAGGGATCTAATTTACCACAACTAGAGGAAGAACTAATCAAAAGGAGGAAAGAGGAGCTGAGGTATCATTTATAGTTGTGTGTGTATGTTTGTGATGACATGAAAAGAGTCCTTTACTTTAACCTTTGCATGAATTAAGCAGTAAGACGGTCAGGTCAGGAGGAGAGGTAATATTAATGAAATTCGAAATACATTCAATGAATAGAAAGGTATAAGAAGTGTCATTTCATTATGAAGCAGCCAGAATTTGCATACCAGCAGAAATGGGCACGAAATCTGCACCTCATTTGATGTCCTAATTAAATTAGAACAAATAAAAAAGAAATTGTGTAAATGAATATCAGGCTTTGTTGCCTCATTCCCCCCCCCCCCCCCCCATAAAATGTGTAAAGAGGCTAAAGAAATTAAAAAAAAATTATCTTTCATGTATATGTTTATACATTTCACATTGTGATACCACGGCTAATGAAGATGATAATTCATTCCAGAATTATTCATTAGCCAAAAACATGATTCCCAGTGGGTGTCTCCAAATATCGTTCTAGATGCTGATCCCAAATTTAAAGTTAACATATTTATAAAATAGTAGAAAGTACACCATAAAAAGTGAGGTAGGGTGGGAAAAGAAATGAGGGGGGGGGGGGGGGGGGGGGGGGGGGGGGGGGGTGTGGTCAGAGACAGCTTTCAAACCACATATAGGAGAAGGAAAAGTAAAAAAAAAAAGGACAATCTTTCTATTTTTGCCCTGGGTACAGTTACACTTTAGACTGCAGTCCCGGAGTGTACATTTATTTTGTTTATTATTTTGTAAATGAGGATCTGTTTTTGCAGGCATGCCCAGGATGTCAGAGAGCACTATGAGAGGAAACTGGAGAGAGCCAACAACCTCTACATGGAGCTGACAGCGTGTATGTTGCAGCTGGAGAAGAGGGAACGGGAGCTAATCAAGTGAGATATGTTGGCTAACAGTTTGTGTTTGTGGATCTATCTTTCTCTTCTGCTTGTTCTTCTTCTTAACATTCACTGGCTGTAAACTTTAGTGGAAAGTTCTGGCTGGTCATCCTAAACTTCCATGGAAAGTTCTGGCTGTTTGTGTACTTCTGGACTTTGCTCTTGTTCCAGAATTTGAATTTTGCATGCATACCCATTTCACAGATCTGGCTTATTTGTAAGCAGACTGTTGATTCCTTGCCTCTTGGGCAGACGCACTCCAACTTCAAATGAAACACCCCTAATTAGTCGCTTGTATAACATACTTGTTAGGAGCCACTGAGTCTATCCCCCCCCCCCCCCCCCCCCAAAAAAAAAAAAAAAACTCACATGGGGATAAGGAGACATGTGAAACAAGAGTTAATTTTGTTTGGTGGTAGATATTAGAATCAAGTTTTATTTTTGGTTTATTGGTAGAGAAAGGAGAAAGAGTTGTAAACTTTTTATTTGTTGGAAGAGAAATAAGAAACATAAGACAATTTTTGTTTGTCAATAGAGAAATGAAAAATATGTATCAATTTTTGTTTCTTGTTAAAGAAATGAGATAGTTTTATTTTTGTTTATCATAGTGAAATAATAGACTTGGCTAAGACCAAAAGGCAGATCAGTCACAAAACCACTAACAATCTTGGAGAACACAACAACAAAACTAACAACTGGTAGTGAAATGAAAAACACAGATAATTAGCTAGTCCTTAGCATTTTCTGTTATATGTATTGTATTATCATCTCATACTCTGTCTTTTACATTCAAGTTTTATTATATTGTATAGACAATTCTATTTTCAGTTATTATATATATACATACAATTCTTTGTCAATTATACCAAAGCAATGTCTCCCTGTTATAAATTTGAACAAAGAAGACACAAACAACAAATTGCACAATTTATTGCCTGGCATATTTCGCAGTTATCTTGTCAGATGCATGCATGCTACAGTAACAATTATATAAACGAAGCAGATAACTGAAGATCATACCTCTACAATAGCCCACCATCTTTTGAAATTTGGACACACTTTAACCAAGGACAACACATTTAAAATCCTTCATACATCAGCCAATGGCAGAACGCTAAGATTTCTTGAAGTTGCCATGATTTGTTACCTGTGTCCTGGACTCTAAGCAAAAAGATATGGTTCTGACCTTGCGGCTGCCCTGGTAAATATATATAAATGTGTATATATATATATATATATATATATATATATATATATATATATATATATATATATATATTAATTATAGACAGTTCTATGTTTAGTTATATTTTATAGAAGATGAATTGTAGTAAAATATTTTATAGAAAGTGACTTGTTAAATATTTTATAGTCCATTCATTTTTATAGATAGTCCATTGCCTAAACCACATTATGTAAATAATTTATGGTTGAATTATATGTTTTAATGACATTTTCAGACGTGAACAACAGCTGATGCTGTACAACAAGCGAAGGAAAAGTATTGTACGACCCATTATTAAGGCTCAGGAGAAACTAGACAGAATCACCAAGAAGCGAACCCACAAGTCAGCTTCAGACATAACTACGTATGGAGAAATAATTTACATCACCACCACCATCCTCATAATGATCACTGTTATCCTTATTGCCTTCCTCTCCTTCTTCTCTTTCTTCTTTTTCTCCTCCTTCTCCTTCCCCCTCTTTTTCTCCCTCCTCCTTCTCTCCTCTTTCTCCTAATCTTTCTGCTCCTTCTCCTCCTTCAACATTATCTTGCTTCTTCCTTCTTTATCTTTTCCTCTTCCTTAAATGTATAGAGAAGAAAGTTTGAGTTAAGTAGAGATTTATTTTCATCCCAATGTGGCATGCAATTTTTCATTATTTTAAAGACCCATGATGGCTGTAGTTGGGGGCACTAATATAACCTAAATGCCGAACAGGGTTTCTGGGACTTGTGCCTGGGGGGATCTTCATTCGAATGGTGGCACTTTGTGTCACCGGGTGTTGGTTGCTGGTTGTACGGTCCTGGTGGAGTTGAATGATATTCCGACCTAAAGAAGAGCAGGAATGTTACAGAAATAAAACTAGCACTAAGTTTATGTTTGTGTGCTTGGATTAGCCAGAATTATTCTATATTTAACTTCTTTTTCTTCTTAGCGTTCACCGGCTGTAAACTGCAGTGGAAAGTTCCAGTTTATCATCCACTTCTGGACTTTAATTTTGTTCCAGAACTAAAAATGTGCATGACCATCCTTTGTACAGAACAGGTTTTCCTCACCTTTCAGACAGATGCACTCTGACTTCAAAGGAAAAACCCCTTTCCTTACCTCTCAGACAGATGCACGCTGACTTCAAAGGGAAAACTCCATTCCTCACCTCTCAGACAGATGCACTCTGACTTCAAAGGGAAAACTCCATTCCTCACCTCTCAGACAGATGCACTCTGACTTCAAAGGGAAAACTCCATTCCTCACCTCTCAGACAGATGCGTCCTGACTTCAAAGGGAAAACCCTATTCCTCAACTCTCAGACAGATGCACTCTGACTGATTGATATGATTTGATTCAAGAACCGACATCACAGCACTCAGGGCATGTCCATAAGCTATCCGTCCCCATCTTCAGCAGCCAGTGAAGAGTTCCGATACTAATGGTGCCAGTAGCTTTCTGATTATACGTCCGTCTTGCCTTTCCTCTGAGCTTTGAGCTTCTGCCAGAACCTCTCGTCACCCCCAACTGCATCAATCTCACCAGACTGTGGTGATCCATCTGCTCCTCCACATTGTACACGCTCTCCCACAAGTCACTAACCACGTCTGCCCTCTCATGTAGCAGTATTCCACCAAGTTGTGCAGAGCCAGCCAGTCTGTCTGCCTGTTCATTTCCCAACACACCGCCATAATCCGGTGGAAAAATCCAGACAATACTCCTAACTCGTGTCCTCCGCAGCGAAGCATGCCACTCTGCACGAAGCATACCTGTTCTGATCTTCCTCAGCATGCTTTCTGAATCAGTTACAATTACAATGTGTGTGTGTGTCATGTTCTCTAGCCAGCGGAAAGCTGCAGTGACCACCTCCACCTCCATTCTTAAGCTGGATGTTGTGGTAACATATGCTAGGCTCTCCTGCACCAAACGTCGACCATTAACTTTTGCTAAAAAGCCCCAAGCACTTCTTTTGCCTCTTGACACTGAACCGTCAGTGTAAATTATCAAATCCTCTGAGCGAGCATTATCTTGAATTAATTGCTGAATTTCTACCTCTGTGGCACCTGCTAGCCAGTCTCTGCATTCCCGGCTCAGCTTGATTATGACTCTACACAAGCTGACTGCTCAGGTGGCACTTTGACCCACTCCTCTCCTCTCCTAATGTTCTCAAGGATGCAAACCTGTCTGATTGTGTCTTCTGCCTGATCCATCCATGACCTCCCTCTTATCAGCCGCTGACCCTTAACTGCACCCAGAGCTTCATGCAGAGGGTGGTCTGTGTCTGCAGCTACCCTGAGATATGACTTCGCCTGCATCACCTTTTACCTACCTGCAACCGTTGGCAAACCAAGGATGTCTCGCATGCACACCACTGGGGTGTCTCTGGTGCAACCCAGAATGACCCACATAGCTGTGTTCTGTATGCGCTCTAGTTTGTCCATCTGACTCTTTAAGATGGTAAGCAGTCCTACGCCATAATCCACCACTGACAGGATTAGGTGCTGATATAGTGTGAAAAGCATTCTCTGCTCTATGTCAATTGCCGCCATAGTCTTAAGTGCACTAAGTCTTTTTTGGCATCCCGTCACAACACTCTCCACATGGTCCTTAAATGACAGGCTCCTGTCAAATGTAATTCCCAGATACTTCAGTTTGCTCTCTCTGTTGACGTCTCTACCATCTATCGTGAGACTTGGGACATTAGTTTTAACGATTCTGTTGTCCAGAGAACACCACAAAACAGACACCTTTTCCGGGTGGACAACAGCCTTCATTTCTGTACACCACTCAGTCACTTTGTCTACTGTTGCTTGTAGCTCCCAAGCTGTTTGTTCCCTCTCTTCCTCCTGCCTATATGCAAGTATATCATCCGCAAAAGTCAGACTCTGACTTCAAAGGAAAAACCCCATTCCTCACCTCTCAGACAGATGCACTCTGACTGTAAAGGGAAAACCCCTAATTAGTCAGTTTTCACAACACACTTGTTAGAGTAGCAGAGGGTCTTTTCAGTTGTTTTCCACATTGGGGCCTCAGAAACCCACAGAGGGAAACTATACTGCATTAACATAAGGGACTCGATGTATCACAGTGGTTAGTAAGCTTGCTTACCAGTTTAGTGGTGCTGTGTTTGAAATCTCTCACGAGATTAATAGTTTCTATAATATTTACTTGGACTCCCAGTTGGACCCAGACTAGTTGTCACTTGTCTCTTCTGATGCTAATGTTCCATTTAGCTAAAGGTTTAAAGTTAAGGTTAAAGGTTAAAAGTGAAAGGATCAGTTTCGATGAACTGAGTCTGATCCTATATGGCTCTCTCTCTCTCCAGAATTGCTAGTTGCCTGCTGAACACATCCCACAAAGCATGAATACCATAGCTTGGGATGATCCCCTGGAATCTCCATAAAAAACACATTCATTAACCAAACACTCAATAAGCAAACCACAACCTTCAGAGCACTAGGTAAACAGCTTGACCACTTTGCCTTGGAGACTCCATAAAAAAATATTTTAGTTGCCTTAGTGAGGTTTGGGAATCACAGCCCAAATGAAAAGTGAGTGGGACAAGTGAGACCAGCCTGTGACAACTCTTTCAGTTCTGTCAAAGGTGAAGGTGAGAGGTTGACTTCATTGCACCAGGTTTTATCCCACATGGCTCAGTCTCTCTCCACAGAACATCTAGCTGCCTGCTGAGAGCAATGCACAGAGCACAGCCTCCTTAGCATGGGCGGACGACGATCTCCAGAGATGTGTGTAAAGATTTCACCTGTGAACTGAATGGTGCCTCCATGAAATGAACCCACGACTGCTTCACCACAGAGATCCCAGTCCCAGTCAAGTATTACCGGACCACTTCTTTCCCAAGAAGCTGAGCTTAAAACCAGAATATACTCAGGACTTTAAAGACTTATCGCCAGTATACAGGCAAATGAATTTATCCCTAATGGACTAATCACCAGTATACTGGCGAATGAATTTATCCCTAATGGACTAATCGCCAGTATACTGGCGTATCATAGAGATACTCTAATTTTGTTCTGTTTGTAGGGAAAACAAACTTTTATGAACAAGTTTTTGAACTATTAGGATTAACAACAAGAAGTCGTTTCGTTTGCGAAGTTCTTCATGGTCGGTGCATTATATTCTGATTTTTAAAAAATTATTTAGATGGGATACAATTTTTACATGATTTTTATATACTAAATGATAAGGAAAAAGGTCTTGAAAAGTATTTAAATTAATTGTTTTAGATAAAGACTGGCTGATACATAATTGAACAGAGCAGCATGTGCATTCTTAAAATTGGATAGCAGTGTTGTTGATAGGTTAAAATGGCTGGAGCCTATTGAGAGAATGTCAGATGACAGAGAGGTAAAAACTGTATACACAGAGGAGATGAATGGTCGTAGATCAGGAGGCAGACCAAGAAGAAGATGGAGAGATAATGTCCAAAGAGACCTGCAACTGGAAAAAGAAAGGCCAGCCAGAGAGGTGAGTGGAGGCTGGTGATATCTGCAGCAATGAGCCTCAAGGCCTGGGAATGCTGAAGAAGAAAAAAAATTTCTTGTTAGAGTAGAGGGAGATAAACAACACCAGCTTGCACTAAGAACAAACAAACTAATTCTGGGGTTGGTTTTGCAACATCCGGTAAACTATAAGTAATTAACTTATACAATTGAATAGGGTTTCTGAGATTTGCTACTGTTGGACTTGCATCTGAATAGTGACTCCTCCTTGAGTCACTGGGTGTCAGTCTTTCAAACTGAGATCCCAGATGAGCAAAATAATAAAAAAATACTATCATTGTTCTGCAAAAACCAGCAGGTCGTGGGTTAAAATCAGCATCGAGTCGATTTTTTCCCCAAATTGTTCTTGGCTCCCAGGTTGACAGAACCTTAAATGAGTACCAGGTAAAGTGCTGGGAATAAAGGCAGACCAGCACGATGCTGACCACATCAGCCACAGAATTGCTGATTGGTCTAAACAGATATAGGTCTAGCACTATATGCCTAGTACACCTAAAGTCATAGAAAGGGTCCTTTACTTTATTGTCATTGTTAAGTTATAAAACATTCATTCATACAGGTGCAGACAATAACTCCTGTATCATTTTCTGTGTCTGTTTTCAGCCCAGACTCCATGAAGAACATGGAGGGCAGTAGCATGACCACAAGCTCGGAGATGGTGCTTCCGTCACCAAACAAGATGCGTTCCCGGAAATCTCGCCACCGACGTAACAACAGCCGTGGTTCTGTCAAAGACTTAATTTCACCTTTGAAGTCTCCATCACGTGAACCTTTTCATTTAGGGGAGCATGTGGACTACCAAAATGTAGCAGTGCTGCATCATGCTGAACATGGCCATCACACACCACATCCAGGCAGTTTCAAATTCCTGGGTCCTGGTACAGCTATCAGAGAACAGCCAACTGAGGATGAAGATGAGAGCACTCAAGGAAAGTGTCAGCTTGAAGGAGTTGACAGTAAACTCTGTTCTGGTAGCTGTCGGTTATCTGAGTGTTCTCCAGCATTGCAAAGTCCTGACTGTAGCACCAATGGTAACGCTTATGATACCTCAATAAGATGTGATGGTAGCTGTAGCGGTGCAGCTTATAACAGCAAGAGATCATCTCAGATAAGTGCGGATGTTGAAAGTGCATGTGACACGTCACCACTGCCTAGCCCAAGACATCCTCTGATAGAGACAATGATAGAAAAATCCTCACCGGAGGCAGATATCTCATTTCGCCAAGACACCGGTTCAGGGTCCTGTTCTTGCTCCCCGATGGCATCACCTGCTGATTGGCAACAATCCATTACTCAGCCTAACCCCATCAGAGAAAAGGACTCTAATGAAAATTTGCACTGCCCTATCATTACCTCTGATATCTGTGACACATCAACTGTAACTATCTCTTTAATGCAAGGGCAGACAAATATTGACTACAGTACTGCTTCTAATACAATCAATCAGTGATGGTTCTTGTGAAAACAATGCTAACCCCAACAACCAGCTTTCACTACTGAACCCTTCAAGGTGTGGGGTCAACAGGGGCAGCAGCAAACATTTAGAGACAGGAGTACACAGAGAGCATGCTGAAAAATCCATACATAACTTGGCTACAAAGTTTAGGAAGGCTGAAGTAAGTCATATTTAGTCATTTGTTAACTTTACTTTTCTCTGTTTCTGAAGTTGGTTCAGTTAAACAGCTCAGCATTTTAGCTGTTTTCTTTCTGGATTAAACAAGAAAAATTGATTTAAATTTTTTTTTTATCTTTGCAGAACTTCTCTTAGTTTTTTTTGTCTGTATTTGGCCATTTTTATTTTGTATATATTCATTTCGTCAGTCCAACTTTAAAAAAAAAAAAATGACCCTAGCTTCTAGGTTGAGCCAGCCTCAAATAGGTATCAGGAAAAGTCCTGGGAATAAAAGGCGACTAGTAGCTTATGACTAATTGAAGACATGATTAAACACAGAAACTTCTTCTTCTTTTGTTGTCTCACTGGTACCAGGTTGTAGCCCAGTGTTCTTGTGTAGTAGCAGTCAAATACACCACTGCCGACTTGCTAGGCCTGTTGTGGTGTGGGGCAGGAAAACAATCTTGACATGGTTGGTGCCCGTCTTCTTCCAGGCAAGCCATTGCTCCATTAGCCTGAAACCTGGTGGCTTCAGTTTTCCAGCATGCACCACGAGGAGGTGGGGGTTGATCTGTGTGCTCCTTGTATAATTGGCAAAAAAAGAAAAAAAAACATTAAAAAAAAAAGAAATTTCATGTTGTTGGCACATCAGATGTGTAATGCCAGATTCCATATTTTTTTTTAGACCAATCAGTGCTAAATGGGTTATGTTTAACTAAGCTGAACAGCCAAAATATTGAAAATATGGATCGTCACAGGCCAGGGGTTCAAGCTCCAGCATAGAAAGATCATTATTACCCTATAACTGGCAGTTACCCGTGGACCACTTTCTAAGCCACTGCGGGCCAGATTGGGCTTGTAGGTCCCCAGTTAAATAACTCTGTTTTATAGACTAGATTGACCTAGCCAATGTCATTTAAACAAATCAAAATGTTGCCTTGATGAAGATTTGAGCCCATGACCTTCAGACTGACAGGCTATGCTACCTTTAATCCCATGACCGCCACCATCATCATTCTCATCATCATCACTTTAGCTTCTTATAGACATTTTAAAAAAGCAGTGAGGAAAAGAACTGACCTACACATTCTAAACAATAAATATTATTTTCCGTATTGTAAAAGCAAGTGAAATGAATTACCTGACCTTGTTGTGGAAATGTGGTGGTGATATTAGCATTATTTATATCAGTAAAAGTTTGTTCAGTTCTTCTGAATTACTGTTGATACATACAGTATAAACTCTGTGTGCATTCTCGTTGTGGAAGGAACAAAAAAAAACACACTGCCTCCCCAACATGTATGTCATACATGTCAACGAATTAGAGGTATTTTTTTTTTTTTCAAAAGTCAGAGCATTTGGCTGAAAGGCGAGAAATCAAAAGTTAGCATACTTATAAGCAAGATCCGTAAAACAGATGTGTATGCAAAACTTAAGTTCTGGAACAAAATTAAAGTCAGGAAGTGGATAAACAACTAGATTTTTTTCTCAGGAATTTACAGCCAGTGAACATGAAGGTGAAGAGTCTAAATATAAAGAGATAATAGATATGTTTGTTTTCAGATAAAGGATATTTGTATGTTTGTAACTGATACTCAACAAGATAAAAGATTTTAAACAGACATGGTATGGAGGGGTGTCAGAAAAATTTCAGGTTGTTCGTCCACCTCTGGACTTTAGTCTTGTTCCAGAACTTGAGTGCTGCATGCACATGCATTTTACATATCTGACTTATTTGTATGCAGATTGTTGGTTCCTTGGCTATCAGGCAGATGCACTCCGACTTTGAAATAAATTTATTGAGTATGATTGGTCCTTAAAAATATTAGTCTGCCAAATAGGCCACTGAAAAAAAAAAAAAAACTCAAAAAAAAAAAAAAACTCAAAAAAAAAAAACCTGTCTTTTCAAAAAAATATACTTTACTTAAATAAAGATCCTTTCTCATGCCTTAGGTTGCATTGGACATATGGGAAGAACATTACATATTTTTACAGATAAAACGACACTAGGTGGGTAATGTTGTCAGCATTACACCAGATACTTTACTTACCCATCCATATGTCGGCTTGTATGCTTTAGGTGTTGTGAAAGTGCTTTTAAATGGTGAGTTTGATCCCGACTGTGGGCAATTTTGAAGGTGACCTTCAAAAAGCAACGCAAACTACTGAAAGTAAATTTGCCTAGAAAAACAACAGCCAAAAAAATGCTTTGGCTGGTTCTGAAAAAGTTTGGAAATCACTGCCATAGTCCAAGATGAAAAGAAATACTGATATCACAAAAAATTTGAACCTCAGGTACATAGAATATTGTCTTGGGAACTGAAATATTCTGTCTATATCGTGCGGCACAGAACTGGAAAGAATAGGAACAGACGGCATGGTACCAGGGAAGAGAGTCAAGGGTCAACCAGCATGGAGATGGTCACAAGATACAAGTGACATCTTAGGTAGGAAAATGTATGAGGTGGGAGATCTGATGTGAGAGACCCAGTTTCTTTTAGACAGACTGTGATGCAAAGTACCCGCTTCATGATGAAGATAGTAATCATGATGATGATGGATATGTTTGTCCATAAAAAGGTCAAAAACGGTAATTACTGCCCATATTTAACTTTTTCACTTCCAGATAATTTTATAGCAGATGTCTAAAGAAAACAAGATTCAAAATTAATAAAATAAGTATGCACAATTCTACAAATGAAGGAAATAAATAGCTTTTGTAAAACATGTTTAAAAGTTTCCAAAACACCTAGGAACGTTTCTATAGTATGCAAACAGCCAAAACATGCATGGCGTGATGCAAATAGATAATAACTTTTCACACACATATAATGTTGTTTAAAACTGAACAAGTTTATAGGGAAGGTCACTGAGTCTGAGGATTTAGGGCTACATGTCTAGTGCAGTCACAGATTGTCAGATTAGGATTTTGTTGTTGCTCCCACTTGTCCTTGCGATATTTATTTATTTATTTATATTTTTAAAATATGTTCTATAGTTCTGTAGGAATATTTATCTGTAAGATGTTTTCTAATCTGGTATGTTTCAAACAGAAATATGTGGAACAAATGTTAGATCTGATTTTGAGTTTTTATTCTTTCTTTCTTTTCACCATTTCAGCATTCAGAAGATTCCTGGTCAGAAGAAGGGGAACTCAGCGATGATGAAGAATCCTTACAACAGCCTCCATGTCGACAGTCATATTCAGCCCAGAGTTCTGAGGGTGTCTTTTCTGAGGAGGACACGACCAGCGACCAGTCTGGACACAAAGATGGCAGTGGTGATGGAGAGAATGGACACCTATCGACTGGCAGCACAGAGAATCTAGAGGCAGAACTGTCTAAGTCTACATGCATATCAGATGGCTTGTCTGACAGGGAGTTGACTGTACAGAAGATGAAAAACAAGGTTAACTCCACTGACAGAATATTTGAGGTGAGTTGAATAGTAGAAAAGGGTTCTTTATTAATATCTTACCACAGCTGACATCACAGGAGAGTCCATCATTTTTTAGGGTAAGACTGGGTTTCTCCACTTTCAGATGCTTTTAACAACCCCAAAACATCTAGAACTGGCCCTAACCCCAACCAACCTATGTCCCACGAGAGAGGGCAGCCTAGGTCCTACATCTGCATGCAGCCTATCTGTCACCCCCTTAAATATTAGACTGTCCCGTGACCTGTGGATTTCCCCTATTTGGGGTAGGATATTAATAAAGCACATAAAAAAGTTGGCTTCTGTCTCTAGAATTTGCAGTCTCTTCTTGATGACACAGTCAGATTTCTTTAATCTTGTTCCTAACATTTTTTTGGGTCTCTCAATTAATATATTGTATCTGGTTTGAAGAGTGAGTTTAATAGTTGCTATCTCTCTATGTGGGTTCTAGGATCCCATGGGAAAGAGAGGGAAGGTAGACCCACTGCCCCCATAACGAGCATGTTGTAAAAGTCAACTAGTTAAGGGTGTTTCCATTGAAGTTTGAAAGTTAACAAACCAATAATCTGCATACAAATAAGCCAGATCTTGAAAAAAAAAATTTATGCAAAAACTCAAGTTCTGGTTCAAGATGAAAGTCCGGAAGTGGGCAAACAACCAGAACATTCTGTCACACTTTACAGCTGGTCAATGTCAAGAAGAAGAAGAGGAAGAAGAAGAAAAAGAAGAAGAAGAAGAAGAAGAAGAAGAAGAAGAAGAAGAAGAAGAAGAAGAAGAAGAAGAAGAAGAAGAAGAAGAAGAAGAAGAAGAAGAAAAAGAAAAAGCAGCAGCAGAAAAGAATATTTGGTAGAACTGATCTAAGTGTACCTATATATCAGACAGTGTGTTGACAGAGAGCTGACTGTCCAGAAAATAAATGAATAAATGAATACAAAATATACATCACTGCACTCAGGGCATTCCCACACATGCTCCCTCTCCTTCCTTTGTAGTAGATTAAGAGTTCCCATCCTGACAGTGACAGTTGCTACCTGATTAAAAGTCTACTTGTCATTTCCACTGTGCAATGAACAACTATCCAAACCCTCTGAAAAGAAGATGAAGAACTTCAATTTTAACTCTCTCCAAACAAACCTGACAGCTATTTTTAGGTTAGCTATGCTATATTTAGCACTGACCTAGATCTGATTTCTGCCACATTATGGTTTAATGTTAGAGTTAAATTGCACAGTTTGTCCATAAGTTGCACAGTGTGTCGCACATTATATCGACACACACATATTTGAAAAATAAAATAAACCACATAAGGAAAAACCTTTATGTCACACAATGTCTTTGGACTTTTATGGGAACTCCCAGATTTCCTTTGTTTGGGGTAAATAAAAATTGAAGTACCAAAGATGAAAAACAAGGTTAGTTCCACCAGAAGAATATTTGAGATGAGTTGAATAATTGAAAAGTTGGCTTTTGACTCTAGAATTCTCAATCTCTTTTTGATGACGCAGTCTGATTTCTTCATTCTTGTTCATATCTTTTCTGTCTCTCACTTAATTCATTGTATTTCTCTGCAGCATTTATTTTCTTAGCCATCATTGGCTGTAAACTGGGAGACAAAAAAAAAACCTGACAGAAAATTTAGTTTCACATCCGGATCTTTTCACAAATCTGGCAATGCAAACTATTGTTTCCTCACCTCTCAGGTGAACTCTGACTTGGAAGAAAACACTCCTAATTAATCTTCTTCTTTTTCTATCCTTCTGTCAGAAAACTTATATCAGGAGGCTGGTAGCTTTAATTAAAGCTATTGGCAAGTCCATATCCTCTCGTGAACCATACAAATTTGTCTTCATTGTGGTTGGAACAGGCCAGATTGCATCTCTGTTGTCAGCATGCAGTTGGTGGCGCGGTGATTTATGTCACAGGCGTGAGGGAAAGTTCAGTCCAACATGGTGTGTATAAGGAGATACTACGTACGTCACTCGGGCGCCAGACTTCACTGTTCTGGTTTTACGGAACTTCACGCAAGACCCCTGCAGCACGTCCTCGTTGTGCGCCACAGATAATGTCTCAAATGAGCATTAACAGAGCTGTCAGGGGATCTCGGAGTTTGGCGGCCCCCAGAGGTGATGTGTCCATGTGGCTCTCATCAGCCAGCCCCCAAACGCTTGGGTGAAAAAAGTTATCAAAACTCATTAGGAACATGAGTATGCTTGCCAAACGTACAGCCAAAATCACAACCCTTGGTTAAAAGATTGCGGAGTGAAGAGAACATTGTTCACTGTACATCCTCTGTTAACCCTCAGTGTCGTCGTCACCGTGCGGAGGTACACCACAACAGCAACCATCCATAGGCTGGCCATCCATGTACATCCTCGGTTAACCCTCAGTGTCGTCATCACCGCGCTGAGTTACACCACAACAGCAACCATCCATAGGCTGGTCATCCATGTACATCCTCTGTTAACCCTCAGTGTCGTCGTCACCGCGCTGAGGTACACCACAACAGCAACCATCCATAGGCTGGCTTTCCATGTACCTCCTCGGTTAACCCTCTGTGTCGTCGTCACCGCGCTGAGGTACACCACAACAGCAACAGCCCATTGGCTGGCCAAGCCTAAATGTCCGACAAAACTAGATCCTATGGCACACGTATAAGCTCACAATCTGACCATCACAATTTGTGTTGAACGGAAAAAGACCAAATGTCCACACCCAAAGACCCCACTCGCCCAAGTGTTGGGACCAAACTGATAACGATATGCCTAACGCAGGATGTAAAATTCTGTTGGGCTAACGGCTCATCAAAAAATCTAACGTGCGAAGAAAAAAGAATGTACCTATTCGTGTGGTCACAAAAGTCCAAAACCCACGGGCTGCTCCCCGCTGACTTCTAGAGGGCGCAGCCCTTGTCGAGCGGGAAGCCTAATACAGTTGTGAGGTTAAGCAGGCATGTGCAGGACGTGACGATTCCTTGGGTGAGCTCAGAACCAGAGCGCCATGTGCCGGCTCTGCATACATGGAAGCCTCCTTGGATGGCGGGGAATGCTCATGATCTGCCCCTGCCTTCCCTTGAGGGCTAACCGTTCCACAGGGGTATTCCGGTCCGGGGGCAATACCCGCGGAGAAGGAGACAAAGTGGACACCACACAAAACAATGGCCACAGTCACCCTAGAAATAGGCCTGACGTCTTTCTTCGAAGTCGGAGTACATCTGCCCATGAGGCAGGGAACAGTAAAACGGTTGTACACGCAAAAATCAGGTCCAGGTGAAAGCCAAAAGTCCAAGCGGATGATTAACCTGGACCTTCTGCCGGAATTCACAGCCGGTGAACGATAAAAAAAAAAAAGCATGCAGTTGACAGTGTTGAAGCACATGCTCAACATTTTTGGGTGCCACACTGCAGGGACACGTCTCCGTGTTTTCTACGCCCAAAAGTTTGAACATATGTTGACATAGTCTGTTGTGCCCTGTCCTTAGTCTGAATATAATACACTGTCCCTCTCTAGAGAGGTGGTGAAGCGAGTCTTAAGGAGAGAATCTGGTGTGTGTATACAGCCAACTTTCTTGGATACTAGATTGTATTAATGTTTTCATCTCTTGATATGTTAAGTCAATGTTTGGTTGTACCACTTCACTGCCACTTCTGCCCAATCTATTTGATATTTCATTGCCTTCCAAGCCACAGTGACCTGGAATCCACTGCATTACAGACTGTTCTACTGAAGAGTTCCCCTCCTACAATATTCTTTTTTACTTGGCAGTGGGTCTGCCCCCCCCCTTTCCCCCCCCCTCCCCCCCCCCCACAAAATGGGGCTCCAGAACCCACATGGGAAAGAATGGAACATTTTTAACCCAGTGATTCTGTGGAAAAATTTTTAATCTGTTTGTTTCATTCTCTGCAGGTTGTGAGTTTTGTTTCGTATTCTGTTCCTTGGTTTGTAAGTGCTGGCATTTTAGAAACACGTTTCTCAACCTGTTGTCCGTAGATTAGTGCCGGTCCCCTGATTGTCTTTTCTTCATTAAGCTTCTTTATAACATTTAAACATGGTATAGCAGCTAGATGCTCGACTGTGGACTAAAAGGTCATCGAGCCTTGGTGGAGCAGGACTTTTTTTTCCTAAATGACCTTAGGTCAACCCAGCCTTAAATGGGTACCAGGCATAGTCCTTGGAAGCAAAGGTGGCAGTCAAGATATTGACCACATCACTCACCCAGTGCGGATTGTTCTTTAAAATACAAGTCTTGCCTTATGTGCCCAATGTTTCTGAAGGTGTGGAAAAGCGTCTTTTACTTTTTATTTTTTTATTTTTTACTTTTGTATTTTTTTTATAACAATTATTACAGACTTATAAATTCTTCCACTTCATATTATTTCAGAACTCTGACACAGAAACAAGTTTAGATTCTGATGAGTGCTCAGATATAACAGTCTCTACTGCAGTCTTCATGACCCGGTCTTTGGAGAGTAGCACCCTCTGGTAGCAGCTGTAGCATCACAACACACCCTGTAAATGCAGCAGCCTCATTTAAAGATTCTGAGATAGCATTTTTTTCCCATCACCCTTCTAGAGCTTCAAACCACCCAACTGAACCAGCCATAGAAAGTTTACTTAGTTAAACCAATTATTGTATAAAAAAACACATGATTCACAAAGTTTTGAGGGCATTGTAACACAGACAAGTTTATTATAAATGTAATTCTTTTCCCTTACGATTCAAAGAAAAAAAGTGTTTCTGTACTACATTATTAGGGCTGTCAGTACCAAGCTACTATTCTGGTATTCTAAAAAGTTACTACTTGAAGTAATATAAGGGTGACTGAAAAGTAATGCCCCATTTCAAAATACTTAAACTTTATTTATCAACTATAATTTTTACAAGAAATGGATATAATAGGACAGAATTTAGTGTGAGATTCTATTTAAAATTTGCTATTGGCACCAGCTTTTACTACCAGCTTCCCAAACTGCCCAGAAAGCCCATCAGCTGGTTTCACCAGGAACTTGTGGAATGGAAGACATAACTTCTTGTAACTGCTCTTCAAGTTCTTCCAAAACAAAACAACCAGTCCGAAATACAGACAGAAACAGATTTAATTTACGGATTACATTCTTTTACATTAAAGATCAAACACAAAATATTTTAGACAAAAATTACCATCAATATTAATAATTCTTTTAAAACAGGGAGTTACTGTTTTTTTGATCGGAGATATAATATAGAATAGAGAAATAAACTGTGAGCCATATATGATAAACAATGACACAACAGGACAATTGTGATATTTGATCTGGGAAGATAGAATAATAACACACTGAAACAGGAGTTGAAGTAAGAACTGGAACAAAGTGTGTGAGTGTTAAACCTGACAGGTCATTCAAATTTAGCAAAAGTAAACTGTGACAGTTGATCTGGGAAGTTAGAATATTAACAATTAGAGAGAAGTTACATTAATAGCTGGAGCAAAGTGTGTGAGCAAAAAACCTGACATGGTTATTAGCTGTTCTTAAAAGTATACCACGACAGTTGGTCTCAAAAGTTGAAATAATAACATTAAAACAGAAGTTAAATTAAGAACCGGAACAAAGTATGTGAGTGTAACAGCTTGACAGTTTATTAAAAAGTAAAGTAAAGTCAGGTGGAGCTGTGTGGTCTGGCAGCTAGACACTCGCCTGCAGATCGGAAGGTTGTAAGTTTGGATCCTGATGGGAGCTGTACTTTTTCAAAAATTATCTTCGTTCCCAGGTCGACCCAACCTTAAGTGGGTACCAGGTGCAGTCCTGGGAAGTAAAGGTGGCTGGCATCATGCTGACCACATCCCCCACCAAGTGCCGTTGGGTCTATAAAGCGCAGGTCTAGCCCTATGTACCCAATACACCTGAAGGTGTGGAAAAGGGTGCTTTACTTCATTTTACTTTAAAGTAAAGAAAAGGACCCTTTTCTATGTCTTTAGGCATATTGGGCAGACAGGGCTAGACCTGTATTTTATAGACCGGAAGGCACTAGGTGGGTAACATCACGTCAGCCACCTTTACTTCCCAGGACTATACCTGGTACACTAGAGGCTAGATCAACCTGGCAGCCAAGAGTCATTTATAAAAAATACAAATAAAAGTCTGGCTCTGTCAGGACCCCAATCCGTGACCATCCTCCTATCCGTAGGCGAGCGTCTAGTTGCTTTTTATAGTTATTAGGAGTACAGAAAAGTAGCCTTTTTATAGTTATTAGGGGTTCAGAATTGTTGCTTTTTATAGTTATTAGGGGTTCAGAAATGTTGCTTGTTATAGTTATTAGGGGTTCAGAATTGTTGCTTGTTATAGTTATTAGGGGTTCAGAAATGTTGCTTGTTATAGTTATTAGGGGTTCAGAAATGTTGCTTGTTATAGTTATTAGGGGTTCAGAAAAGTAGCTTTTTATAGTTATTAGGGGTTCAGAAATGTTGCTTGTTATAGTTATTAGGGGTTCAGAAAAGTGGCTTGTTATAGTTATTAGGGGTTCAGAAATGTTGCTTGTTATAGTTATTAGGGGTTCAGAAATGATGCTTGTTATAGTTATTAGGGGTTCAGAAATGTTGCTTGTTATAGTTATTAGGGGTTCAGAAATGTTTGCTTGTTTAGTTATAGTTGCTTGTTATAGTTATTAGGGGTTCAGAAAAGTTGCTTGTTATAGTTATTAGGGGTTCAGAAAAGTTGCTTGTTATAGTTATTAGGGGTTCAGAAAAGTTGCTTGTTATAGTTATTAGGGGTTCAGAAAAGTTGCTTGTTATAGTTATTAGGGGTTCAGAAAAGTTGCTTTTTATAGTTATTAGGGGTTCAGATTTAGAAAAGTTGCTTGTTATAGTTTATTAGGGGTTCAGAAAAGTTGCTTGTTATAGTTATGTTTGTATAGTTATTTAGGGGCTCAGAAAAATTTGCTTGTTATAGTTATTAGGGGTTCAGAAAAAAGTTTATAGTTTTAAATAGTTATTATTTTATTAGGTTTCCGAAATGTTGCTTTTTATAGTTATTAGGGGTTCAGAAAAGTTGCTTTTTATAGTTATTAGGGGTTCAGAAAAGTAGCCTTTTTATAGTTTTTAAAGAGTTCAGAAAAGTAGCCTTTTTATAGTTATTAAGAGTTCAGAAAAGTAGCTTTTTATAGTTATTAAAGATTGCCAGAAAAGTTGCTTTTTATAGTTATTAGAAGTTCAGAAAAGTAGCTTTTTTATAGTTATTAGGAGTTCAGAAAAGTAGCTTTTTATAGTTATTAGGAGTTCAGAAAAGTAGCTTTTTATAGTTATTAGTTTAGAAAAGTTGCTTTTTATAGTTATTAGGAGTTCAGAAAAGTTGCCTTTTTATAGTTATTAAGAGTTCAGAAAAGTAGCTTTTTATAGTTATTAAGATTTCAGAAAAGTAGCCTTTTTATAGTTATTAAGAGTTCAGAAATGTAGCTTTTTATAGTTATTAAGAGTTCAGAAAAGTAGCTTTTTATAGTTATTAGGAGTTCAGAAAAGTAGCTTTTTATAGTTATTAAAGATTGCCAGAAAAGTAGCTTTTTTACAGTTATTAAGAGTTCAGAAAAGTAGCTTTTTATAGTTATTAAGAGTTCAGAAAAGTAGCTTTTTATAGTTATTAAGAGTTCAGAAAAGTAGCTTTTTATAGTTATTAAAAGTTCAGAAAAGTAGATTTTTATAGTTATTAAAAGTTCAGAAATGTAGCTTTTTATAGTTATTAAGAGTTCAGAAAAGTAGCTTGTTATAGTTATTAAGAGTTCAGAAAAGTAGATCAATGTAAGGCTGATATGGACAAACTCATGCTGACTTGCTTGGTTCTAAATGAGTTTAATCACGTGTTGATTAGTTACCACTTGCACAATTAAATTTTTTGCACGTTTTCTGCCTTATCTGGTTTGTTACTTTAGTCTACTCTGTCAGTATGTTACTTTAATTTTACCTGCCTCGTCCATATGTTAGTTACATTAGTAAAATGTGTCACTTCTAATTGTTACATTAATGAACACTATCAATATTGTTACACTGATGCTTATCTGTCTCTTCCAGTCGTTATATAACTCTATAAACTCTTGTTACCCGTAACCACCTGTTTCATCATTGTTACCTTAGGACACAATAACCCTGTTGTTAGTTTCATCTACTTCTATTTCATCCAGTTGTTACATTAGTCTAATATAACACTGTTGTTACATTAACTCTTTCTGTCTTATATGATTCTTAGCTTAGTCCACTCTGTTTCTATTGTTACTTTAAACTCCTATCTTATTTAATTGGTACATTAGGACACACTATCTGTACTAATAGTATTATCTACTTCTGTCTTATACTTCTTCTTCTCATTCACCAGTGGTAAACTCAGTTGAAACATTCTGGTTGTTCACCAACTTTTGGTCATTAGTCTTGTTCCAGAACCTGAGTTTTGCATTCTATAGGTCTGGCTTATTTTAATGCAGACTGTTGGTTCCTTGCCTCTCAGGCAGGAAACACCCATAATTTGGCAAGTTTTGTGACATGCTTGTTAGAAGACAGTGGGTCTATTTCTCCCTCCCACCTTATATGATCCCAGAACCCACACATGAACTGTCTCATATACTTGTTACATTAGTCCACTCTATCACCATTGTTACATTAGTTCACTATCACCATTGTTACATTAGTCCACTCTATCACCATTGTTACATTAGTTCACTCTATCACCATTGTTACATTAGTTCACTCTATCACCATTGTTACATTAGTTCACTCTATCACCATTGTTACATTAGTTCACTCTATCACCATTGTTACATTAGTTCACTCTATCACCATTGTTACATTAGTTCACTCTATCACCATTGTTACATTAGTTCACTCTATCACCATTGTTACATTAGTTCACTCTATCACCATTGTTACATTAGTTCACTCTATCACCATTGTTACATTAGTTCACTCTATCACCATTGTTACATTAGTTCACTCTATCACCATTGTTATATTAGTTCACTATCACCATTGTTACATTAGTCCACTCTATCACCATTGTTACATTAGTTCACTATCACCATTGTTATATCAGTCCACCCTGTTACCATTGTTACATTAGACCATCCTATCACCATGGTTACATTAGTTACATTAGTTACATCAGTAGCTGCTTTGGTCCACCCTATCAGTATTGTTGCTTTGGTATTTTATTTATAATTCACTTCAAACAAAGGAAATCTGCAGTTCTCTGAAAAGTCAATATTTTAGGGGTGTTGTGGGATGGAGTTTGGGTTAGGAGTAGGGTTTGTCTGAAGCAGTCGGAGTTGACAAAGATTCCAACCCCAACCCATAACACCCTAAAATATTGGACTTTCCCAGAAACTCTGGATTTACTTTGTTTGAGATGAAATAAAAATAAAGTATGATACTTCTACTTTTCTTATCTTATTGAGTTGTTGCATATGACCTCTCTGTAGCTTTCACTAACTTCAAACTCTTTTTGCATTATCTAATTTTATCACTTTTA